GACCCATTCTAAATAAATGGAATTATCAGTCATGTTTAATTGGTGCTCATATCTCTGTAGCCAATGAATAAATGTCCCACAGTTATGCAGTTTAATTTTACTAGATACAAGAAACATATGGAGATGAAGAACAGTATTCAAGCTCAAAAGTCCATAAAACAGTACAAAAAAAGGAGCAGGGCAAACACAGACCTCCAAAACATCAGAGGTGGGATCAGGTGCCATAGAGGAGTGAGTATCCCCTGCTGGTCGGTCACATCAGCCATGCCAAGGTAAACGATGAAATATGAAGATAACAATTAAACAGTACTTGAGCTCTAAAAGAATACAGTTTTGGAGCAGATCTCTAAATCATCAGGGGTGGAATAAGGTGCCATGGAGGAGTCTAAAACATTATACAGTTATTGACTGGGTATGAGGGCAACATATGATTTGTTGGACCTGAAGGTGAAAATGTTGCCCGAGGTCGCAGGCCAAGGGCAATATTTTCACCTTCAGGTCCAACAAATCATATGTTGCCTGCATCCTAGTCTATAACTGTTTTGTTATACCCTTCAGTGCTCACTTAAGATTTAATCAATACACACTATATTATCAATTACTTTATATGGAAAATTATGGCTTAATCAGTAAATATAAAACAATAGCTGGGAAAGAACAAAATTAATCATATTTTTATTATATCACAAAAATTATTTATCACAAAACATATACTCTTCCCTTCTTCCTTGCTAGTAGCAACAACTCTTACAGCTCTTAACTTCAGCTATTTCTGTGTCGCCGATATTGAACGATGATTAATTACTTGTGACGTAGCAGTGACGTTGCCGTCTAACAATTCTTATGTTGAACCGGCAGACCCGTCAACAGTGAAAATGTTAGACCGATGTAAAACATTTCTTTTGTTGGACTTTTTATTAGTAATAAATATACAGAAAGCTATTTATAAGGGTATAATTTAACAATGAATGTCAAATCAATGAATTCAAAACTTTGAATGAAACAGAATTTTTCATATCAATTGCAGTTACTAGAACCTAAGTCTAATGAAGGAGAATTCCCTTTTTGACCTTGAATTGTTCTTGACCAAACAAGTAAGAAACCTTCATTTATATGACTTGGCATCTGAACTTCTACATGTAGTTGAACTTTGTGTTACTATATATCGAACACCAGGGATAAAAATAACAAATAGTGATTTGACAGTCACAACTAGGGCTGGGCAATAATATCAATATTTCAATATATTGCAATACAATGACAAAAAATATCGTATCGCAATACGATTTTGTAATATCGATATATTGGCAATATGCTTAGATTAAGGAATTTTGTCATTAAATATAAAAATGGACTTATGAAAGTTTGTTATTAAGCCAAACAGTAAGACAGAAGTTGTTTTGTGTGAACATATCAGAGCATAACTTTAATGAAATCAACAAGATTTTTTTTCTGTGTTGGTTACTTATTATATTTCTGTCCATTCTGCATGTAAATTAAAGTAAATATAGTAAGAAAATGCCATTTAAATTACATTGAAAATATTGCAATACATATCGCAATACAGTTAAAAATATCGCAATATATCGCAATACGAAATCTCGGGCCAATACCCAGCCCTAGTCACAACCACTTCTTTATGTTTCAAGTGTTCAGTACTTTTTTAGTTTGATAATAAATTATCAATTTGAACAGACAAACGTACACACTAATAGCTTTTATTTTTATTTTATTTACTAAATTTTTTTTTTCGGGGGGGGGGGGGGGGGGGGGGGGGGGGGGAGGGGATTCAGAGGTGCTTTTCTCATGTGTGATTGCAAACAACGAACAATTACTCTGTCATTGTTATAAATTTTTTATAAACTATTCAGGGACATGACTTTAAGAGGCCGACTTATTAGCAGCTCGTGTTAAAATTCAGGACATTAAAGTTGACTGTAATACTAACCAAATAAATGTCTATCAATTTTCCAGACAGATGACAAATGCTAATGAGCCAACACAAAATAAATGAATCAATGATCAGAAGAGAAAAAAAAAACAAATTAATAAATCTATCAGAGTTAATATGGAACTTAAATGTCAGAAAGACTCTTAAATTTAAGGCAAAGAACACAAACACGTTAAATGGAAATAAAAAAAAATCACAGGAGAGTTTCTTCGAGAAAACAATTAATTGACTTCAAAATGACAATCAGAAGTCTAAAGCACTCGGTGTGCAATATTACTTAATATCTGCATGATTTCCTTTCAAATTAGCTGTGATAAAAGTGGCCCATTACTTAGATGATATCTGGAGAAACTGGTCGTAATTAGCCTTGTCAAGGAGGGGGCAGGCAAGGTCATATATTAAGTGCATGTAAAGCAACTTTGAATTCATAAAAGTTGGATAATGGCAATGAACTTCCATTAAATCTTACTTATGTTAGCTTCCCCATGGCTGTGGATATAAACTTCACAGAGAGAATGAAAGATGAAATGTGGAGATAAAAAACAGATGTCGAAGTCCATTTAATTAAACAAAACAACTAGTGAGCTAAGAGCCTAAACAGATGCTGAAAACAGAGATGCAGGGATCGGGTGCCAGGGAGGAGTAAGCATTCCCTATCAACATAATGTCACTATAAGGTTAACAGTCCACTGCATCACATTTAAATTACACTAAAAATTTTGACTTTATTATAAGTTACTTTTGAGATGCTTGTATACTTATTTAAGAACTATATCTTTTTTAGAAACAGCAATTCATAATTTTTTCTTTCAGAAACTGCTACTCATGATGGAAACAAAGATAGAGTTAATAGTGTCATCAACAGTTAATGTATATAACTACTAAAGTAAAAAAAAAACAATCATTGACAAGCATCATAGCTTCTTAAGCTAATCTTTTATAATCTAAACAAATGACATTGCAAAATGAATTCAAACATAAAATCATATTATGAAAAGCAATGAATCCATTGGAATCAAATAGAATGACAGTCTTGGAAAGCTTATAAAAGTCTGCATGCAAACCAATCAACCTTGGGTTTTAAAAAATAAATCAGAACTAATTGATTTTTAAAAGCAGTAATGACATGTTATATATTAAATATATATAGTCAAAATGTTGTTGTTATCAAACACAATTTTATTGGTTCAACAGAATATGTCCCCACCCTCATCTTTTCATAATTTACAATGAACCCATCAAATCAGTCTATGACTAACTTTAAATGAACTACATTTATAAATAACTCAGTCACGTTTTGGTAAGGCCAAATTTATTGAAACAATATTTTTTAAAAGTACCATGTCACCTCATATCTCTTTGTTGGAGGATTTATATCAAAAAATCCTACTCCTAATTTGTGTTTATCTATTTAACGACAATGCAATGCATTCCCAGGTATTTTGATTTATTATCTACCTGGCCAACCTAACGTTAAATTTTTATAAATGCTTAAATTTAAATTCTCAGGTCTTTGTCATCCAAGCTCTCTAATCTAGGAAGAGAAATTAAGTCAGGACAAAGGGAACAAGAAAAAAATTCTTTTGTCAAAGCTTTCCAGCTGCATTTACACTGTATCTATTTAAAATCACATGATTTTAAGGATATTTCAACAAATGATGATGTTTTTTGACAATTAAATACATGTACAAATGATGATCTGCAGACATCAAAAGTGTAAAGGAAAGAAATTAACCCTTGTGCATCATCCATACCGACAGAATACTCATAGCCCTTTAGCTTTCAGTCTAAGCTTGATTCAAAGAGCTCTTAGTGACAACTGTTATGGCTAAACCAGTTCAGAAAATGTGATGGTCAACAAATTGGCCAGGAAAAGTAAATAATTTTCAAGACTGAGACTGACTTTAAAGTACGTGCAATAAAGCAAGACTCAAACAATTCATACCAATATTAAGGACAGATGATACAAACAAAAAATGGATGCCTGGATTGGTATATATTTTTTGGCTTAATTTAATTGCAAATGATGCAAATAATAAATTTCCAGAATAGGAAGAATTTGCAAACCTTCCGTGATGTTCAAAAGTCTGTCCTTCTGAAACCATGATCCTTAATCTATACAAATATTTTTCACTTCAAATTCCATTTTTGTGCAAATTTGAATTAAAAATTAAAAAGTACGCAGTGAAAGTTATTTATTTTACTCATTTAAACATGACCCAAGTGGTTATTTTCAAATTCTTTGACAAAAGTTTGTTTGTATCATCTGTCCTTAAAGCAAATGAAACTTCAAAGAATGACCTAGTTTACGCATCACATATTATTCTATACCTTTAAATATTTCTAATTCTTTTTCAAACAAATCACAAAATATGCATGCATGGTCAAAGTTTTAAAACAACTCTTCCAAGAACCCAGCTAATTTTTTTCTGCGCAGGTTCACATAATATTGTAAACATAAGCTATTGCGTAAATTGCGTGAGTTAAGCCTCAAAGCCTCTCTCTTACTGGAAATTTCCTTTCTACGCCTTTTAGTACCCATCAGACTGTGAGAAAACAACAGAATAATTAGCATGTAATCGGAAAAAACATATGATCAATTATTGACAGAATGGCTAGCTTCCACCCAGAAAATAAAAAATTGGCAAATGATGACAAGAAATGCCACTAAACCATTGCGATCACACTCTGATCTCCTGTCCTTAGACCCATTACCAGGCCAGGACCTGACAGCTGTATACAGTGTTGGCCTTTGACATTAAATCACCCAGAACAAGAGATAAAAAGAGAAAGCACCAAGGTGTAATAATAGGGATCGTAATCCTTAACATCAATACCTGACACAAAGAGTCAATACACAAAGAAGAAGAGCATATGCCTTTCTCGACAAAATATTTATAAAATTTACAATTATACTGTTAAAAAATTATCGCTATTTGGCTTCTTTGGCAACAAAAAACTTCCTGAATGTATGAAATTTCACTATCTATTCATCTTTAACATTTAAGGTCAAAAGTTAAACATAAAATTCTTCAATTATATAGCTTACTGTTCCAGTAAGTGATTTGGACTATATTTTCCCATCTTATAACTTGGCTCCATGATTGCACTGCCCAGAAAGTCGCCAGTGTTCCACACTGGTCACAGAATCACACACACACACAGACAATAAAATAAATCTCTCCGACACAAAAAAAACAAAGATTTCACGCAATCTCCCAGTACATCAGGAAGTACCGAGGAGATGTTTACAGACATTGGCGGCCATCTTGTTTTTGTGACGCTCTTTCGTTATCAACAGGCTTTTACAAGCCTCCTATATATGACAGGAATCGCCAGACCTTTAAATCGTCGACGTGGAGGAGAGAGATCGAGCTTGTTCCTGGATATTGACACAGCGGCTATATAACAGGGTGTAAACACCTGACCTGGTAATAATCATTTCAATTAGAAGAGCCGTGGATATAAAAGGGGCAAAAATCTATTGATCCACCTGTCCAATCTTTTAATCATTGATACAGACAACTGCTGTATTAAGACACTGGTTGGAAAAGTCAATTCCACTTAGAGGCCTGCATTAATATTAAAGAAGCTTGTAATGTACCCAGACAATATTATGCAATTAACGTAGAACCACCTTCTATGCCAGAAATTACATTTTGCAATACATGTAACTATATAGCTATAGGTTCCAAATTTATTTGAAATCATCAGTTGGAACAATAGATGTTGAAACACACAAGCTTTGATAATTGTACCCTAGTACATTTAAAATCCATATTCATTTGCCTGGGTGAACAAAAACGTCTCCTCCCTTGTGGCATGTCATTTAATGGCCTGGAATAAATATTGCGCTGAACTGTATCATTAAACATGTGTTTTTAAATTGTATAATAATGAATCGCACCTATACTCTGAGGTATGAGGGTTTGACTGAATGAATCCCATGAGTATATCATTGTTGTGTGAGATACAATGAGGTCTGGCAATCCATTAATTGCAATAATGGAAAACTGTGAACATATAGTACCAGCTAGTTAATATAAGGTAGTGCGCCACCTTAAATGTTCAGTCATAATTCATTTCAGAGTTCAATTAAGGTTGAAAGTATATACTCTGTAGTGCTCAGTAAATTGATATTGAAAAAGGAGATGTTATGAAAAAATTAGGTTCAAGAAACTTGCAAGTTGATTGTTAATTTACTTTTAGGGCATATGTCTTGGATGCCCTTAATGAATCATTTGATGGGCCATTACTGGCTTTAATCAGTTTGATATTTCCCCAATATACATCATTGTGAAGTAATAATAATGCAGTCCCTCTTTTGACCTTGACCTCAAAGTACATCTGCACTGACCTTGACCTGACATATAAACAAACATGATATAATCAGTCTACAAACAGTTTTACTGTAAAACTCATTATTACGAACACAAATATTGTGAATTCACAGATAAAACGAAATTATCTTGGATCCTCAGCTATATAAATTTAATGAATTCCTTATACAGATATGATATATTACAGAATCAGATAAAGCAAAGTAATTTTATTAGTTCCTGTCAGTGATTTTTTTAGGGCCGTTTTAGGGCCGTTTTGGGGCCAAAATTCCGCCCAATTGAAAATATGCCTGTATTTTCCCAAAATGTAGGGGAAGTTTTCCCAAAGAAAAACTTACAAAATATGTGATAAAATTCTGTTTGTTTATTGCATGTTTTTCAGTAGAGTTCAAGCATGTTTTGTTGTTCAGCCATGTTGGATTCCTTCAAAATTAGATAATTCATTCCACTATTGTTCTTGATGCAAGTAATTAGATAATTCATACCAAGAATAGTCTTAATTTATTATAACAATTATTTGTTCAAGTAATACAAAGACAAAACAAAGCTTTTTGAAAATGCTTTTAAATAGCTGCAGATCTGTAGCGTTGTGGTTTTTTATATTTGTCTTTGACCATAACGCTACAGATCCCATAATGCAAAAAATGTGCAATTTACGGTGCAACATTTTGTGGAGAATTTCTCCACTTTCCAGCATCATTCAATTAACTACCTTTCACTACATAATTCTAGGCACATTATTTAACTAATCTGTATAATTTATCCATTTCCCCACCCTTTATAGTCGTCTCTACAAGTGATAAACTCGCTAAATCATAATCATTTGTTAGATTGCTGAAAATTCACTTCAAACGAGTTTATTGCCTGTAGAGACAACTATAAATGATTGGGAGGTAGATAAAATATACATATTGGCTACATAATGCGTCTAGAATTAGTGAGTGAAAGGTAGTTGATTAACCAATGCTAGAAAGTGGAGAAATTCTCCCCAAAAGAGCGCAAAAAATATTGCACCGTAAATTGCACCTTTTTTGTATTACGGGATTTGTAGCGTTATGGTCAAAGACAAATATATAAAACCGTAACGCTACAGATCTGCAGCTAGCTTTTAAAGTGACTGGGTTAAAATTCTTGGAGATTCCCAATTTAGCCTAATTGACGCTGAAATTCCCAATTCTAAGGGCCCCAGCCCCCAGTCCCAAAGTACTGAAAAAAAACACTGCCAGTGATTTTGTTACATCCAAGTTTTACTGTATAGATATTTTAACAACCGCAAATAGCTATATATAGGTTATAATTATTAGACAGAATATCGATCCCTACTCAGTTTATTTTTTTTAAAAATGGAATACGTGTCTTGTATAATTGGTATTATGCAAAGATGACAATATTTCTAGACTATTTCACAGAAAATGTTACAAAATGTTTTTTGCTTTCCCTAATCAATTTTCAACCAAAGAAACCTACATGTAGCTGCAATAATACTATATCCTTCAGAAAACAGAGCTAAAATTCTAAGATTAAAAAAAAAACTACAAACAACCAAAAACAAAAACAAAAAAAAACTAGAACTGTCCAATTGGGACAAAATACCCCCCGCTGGGTTTTTCAGAAGTAAGTTTTTGCATAATAAAGATATGTATCAAACACGAATTATAAAATTTTTCTTCCAGTGACCTTGAACTTCCCAAATGACCTTGGGTCAAGGTCATGACACACCCTTGGGTCATAGGCAATCTTTGAGTAAAATCATAAAGAACCTACCAAGTTTATCAATAAGAAAGATATGGACCGGACACAAATTATGAAATTTTTCTTCCAGTGACCTTGAACTTCCCCAAATGACCTTGGGTCAAGGTCATGACACACCCATAGGTCATGGGCAATCTTTGTGTGAAATGAAAACCTACCAAGTTTATCCTTTAAAGATATGGACCGGACAATTATTAAATTTTTCTACCAGTGATTTTGAATTAAAATGACCTTGGGTCAAGGTCATGACACACCCTTGGGTCATGGGCAATCTTTATGTGAAATGAAAACCTACCAAGTTTATCCATAAGAAAGATATAGACCGGACACGAATTATGAAATTTTTCTTCCAGTGACCTTGAACTTCCCCAAATGACCTTGGGTCAAGGTCATGACACACCCTTGGGTCATGGGCAATCTTTGTATGAAATGAGAACCTACCAAGTTTATCCTTAAGAAAGATATGGACCGGACACGAATTATTAAATTTTTCTACCAGTGACCTTGAACTTCTCCAAATGACCTTGGGTCAAGGTCATGACACACCCTTGGGTCATGGGCAATCTTTATGTGAAATGAAAACCTACCAAGTTTATCAATAAGAAAGATATAGACCGGACACAAATTATGAAATTTTTCTTCCAGTGACCTTGAACTTCCCCAAATGACCTTGGGTCAAGGTCATGACACACCCTTGGGTCATGGGCAATCTTTGTATGAAATGAGAACCTACCAAGTTTATCCATAAAAGATATATGTCAAACATGAATTTTGAAATTTTTCTCCCAGTGACCTTGAACTTCCCCAAATGACCTTGGGTCAAGGTCATGACACACCCTTGGGTCATGGGCAATCTTTGTGTGAAATGAGAACCTACCAAGTTTATCCATAAGAAAGATATGGACCGGACACGAATTATGAAATTTTTCTTCCAGTGACCTTGAACTTCCCCAAATGACCTTGGGTCAAGGTCATGACACACCCTTAGGTTATGAGCAATCTTAGTGTGGAGTAGTAGATTCTTGTGTCCCTCTGTAAGAAAGATATGGACCGGACATGATTGCACAGACAGACGGACAGACGGACAAGGTGATTCCTATATACCCCCCCCCCCAAACTTCGTTTGCGGGGGGTATAAAAACTGCAAGGAACCTCAGATACCTGACAAATCTAATCAATAAAGATGGCCATTAATTAAGTTGTGGTAATCACATTAATTCAGCACTCCACATGTGACCATTATTGACAGAATTAAATCAGACTTGTCTGCGACTTTTCCTGCGAGCAGACTTCTCTCTCTGAGCAATCAATACAGATTTCCTAAGACTTTGTTGAACTGTCTTTCGAATTATTGAAGACATGATGATGAATTCTCAAGGGATCGACACTCAAGGCTTTTCTTATTAATAGGGAAAATGTGACTTCTGACTTAGTTCCATATGGTGTTTGTTTTGTATTTATTTATCTTTTAATTTTAAATTTTATTATTAGACATTTCCCAATTAAACCTGAATTGTTTCAAGTTTCTCAAAACCAAGAATTTACCATGTTCAGATCAATGCTTTTAATTTTCTTTTCTTCATTAATTTTCTATTCATAGATATTGAAGTCAGTCTAATTTTACTAAAAATTTCATCTTTTTTTAAATTTCAGATTTGAAACATAAAATTTCCTGAAAATATTGCAATATTTTATTCATTTAGTATTACTAATTGAAAAAAATTAATTCCAGAAATACATATATGTAATACTACATGTATACAGATTGTAGATTTAATCACGAAACACATAAAAGTTTAATTATAAATTTGTGAAAAGGATTGTGTGCCATTCTAAGAAAACCATTAAGTTTAATTTCTTTGTATCTTCAACACAATTTATACTTTTTCCATGAATTCTGGATTTTAAAACCTGAAAAATGAAACAATTCTAAAGGGAATATGATAAGTGTCAAGTCTTATCAATTCTGAACATATAATGTTAAATGTTCAAATTCATTCATTATTTAAATTACAGCAGTATTGGAAATGATTTAAATCAGTCAGGTTTCATCTGGGTTTTTTTTTCTTTGCTTTTATTAACACATAAATGAGTCATTTCAAAATGCAAGCACGGGTAATTTGCCATAAAATCCAAACACTACACAAACTAAGCATGTTTTCACAACTGCGAGTCAGGTACTAACTTGACGAGAATATCCAGAATAGTAAAGTCAACACTGTACAAGTACAAAGAACAGTTAGTACATCTACTGTGTTTATGTACTGATATAATTTTGAATTTTTAAAATTTTACCAATCTGTTTGATCCATCACGATATTAATGAGTTTCACCCTTTTTAATTAATTCCTAATAACGGATTTGGCTTAATGATCTCTAGATTTTATAAGTCCATAACCTATTAATTTAAAGTACACATATACTAGTTGTTTCACAACTTATACAAAAAGTTTATTACTTAAGTAACTTGTTCATGTTTGCTAATATATGTCTTCTAATTATGGTAAAAATTATAAGATGAACACTTAAAGTGTTTGAAAAATTACAGATACTTTAAAAAACA